GAGGGAGGGGGGGGGGGGTACTCACAGTCGTGCATGCCGTAGTCGTTAGACCATTGACGCGCATCAATTGGCAGCATTCATGCCCACGAAGCCGCTGATGACGCCAGCACTATTATAGTGTGTTACACGACGAGAGGCATGCCCGCAACAGCAGCAGCAGGTGGCGCGCCTGTTTGCGTCGTAGGAGTGGGTCCCACGTTAGCTTGTTGATGCTTGCTGCTCCGACTCTTGCAGACCGCCCCCCCATTTGTTTCGTTCGTCGAATGCACCCTACAGCAGCCGTAAGCCGGGTAAGTAAAGGCCAGGGAGAGAGAGAGAGAGAGAGAGAGAGAGAGACGGAGGCGCGAATAGTGTCCAGCAGGTGTCTTGACCAATAGGATTAGCTGTAGGGACGGTGTGGGCCGCATTCAGTATTTCCTTCTTGTTTTAGTTCTTGGCTTGGTTTCACCACACCCTTTTTTTTTTTGTTCCCGTCCCTCTTACCTACCCGCTTCCGCGCTTCACAGGCTGCACCGCGACCTCAAGCCGCAGAACCTGCTCATCAACCGGGAGGGGGAGCTGAAGCTGGCGGACTTTGGCCTCGCGAGAGCCTTCGGCATCCCTGTACGAAGGTGCTTCTTTCACCTACTCACGAGAACCGCTCTTGTCTACCCCCCACCACCGGTCGTCCAGTCATGTATAGGCAAAAGGAAACCCCCTTCACCTATTCTCCCCAAGGCCTGCCCGACCCACCCACCCACGCACGCGGGCCTTAGGCTACTGTAGCGCATGCCTTTTGCCCACGGTCGTATTGTTGTTTTGCTCATCCCTCAGGCAGGTTAGCGCATGCGTCAGGCCGAGGGTCGTGTCAATTTAGTCGTTCGTTTTTTTGTTGTTGTTGTTGTAATGTTGTGCTTTTTTTTTTTTGTGTGTGTTTTTGTTCATGTTTTTTTGTCGTTCCGCTGCAGCTACACGCACGAGGTGGTGACGTTGTGGTACCGAGCACCGGACGTCCTCATGGGCTCTCGCAAGTACTCCACCCCGGTTGACATCTGGAGCATCGGGTGAGGAGAGGGAGGGGCGGCACATTAAGCAGATGGAAGACAGAAGAGACAAGAGAGAGGGGCTGGGCAAGGGGTGGTAGAGACAGGATGGGCGGAGGAGCTTCTGATTCATGAACTTCGTAGACGAAACGCAGACAGAAGAGTCAGAGATGGGGACTTAACAAACAAAGGGTTGGTAATGAAGACAAGCTGTGAGACAGACTGGCGGACGACGCGTGAACTGGACAAAGGCACGGACGGAACAGATGGCGCTATTGCATCATAGGGCTTGACATGACAAAAGTTGTGGTAAAGACAACATGCGAGAAAAGAACAGATAGTGCTATTATAGAGCTTGGCTATCAGGGGGCGGTGAAGACAACATGTGAGAAATACGGGCCGAGAGAGGCAGCCAGAGTCAAGGGGAGTTTTTTTCTGTACCAGTGGCAAACGCTTGACGCTGCTTTGGGTGCGCTCGGCTGACTGTTGTTGCGACACAGCGTTCTTGGGTGCCGCTTCTGCAGGATGGATACCACCTCGGTGGCACTAGTCTAATGCGGGAAAATTAATCTGGTTCGCGTGTCTCAAGCATGGAGTGGAAAATTGCAGAAACTGTCGTTGTTTCTGTTTTTATGTCCTGTTCTTACTAAAACAGATGATCATGTTTTTTTCCCGCCCGTTGCCTATGTTTTGCTCTGACCTGCTACAGCAGTATACCGTGTAGTCTGCTGTTTTCGCGCTGGTACACTGCAAGTGTGCCCTGTTCGGATGGCATTGTATCTTTGTAGAATCGACTGCTGGGTACACCGATCCCCTCCTTCCATGAACTTTTGACGTTATCCTTATGTTTTCGTTAACCTTGTCAGGTGCATCTTCGCTGAGATGGCCACCGGACGCCCACTGCTCACGGGCACAAGCGAGAGCGACCAGCTGGCACGCATCTTCCGCCAGATGGGCACCCCGACGCCGATCATGTACCCGGGGTTGCAAGAGTTGCCAGATTATCGGGTGAGTAAGCTGAGCGAGATCAGTGGGTGAGATGACGGGATGTCGAAATTCAAGGAGCCTGGGACGATCACCATTTGATAAAACTCTCCCACACCCTGTTCAACTATGCCTTACAAATACAACTGATGATTGGGTAAGGGTCCAGCTACCCTGTAGGTTGATTGGAATCAACTAAATCACCCAAAATTTTCAGTCAGTAGTTGGATGGAATCACCTACTGTTGGCACAATATTCTGACCAAATACAACTATCGTAGTTGTACGTTCAGGGTGTGAACTCTCGTCTTAGCACACACGCGACGATCGGGCTTGGTGACTGCCTGTTGTCCGTGTACCTGCAAATGTGCGTCGCTTTCGTGCTCCCTTTGTAGTGCCCTTCTATTCTCTCTCTTTCTCTGTCTGTCTGTCTGTCTGTCTGTCTCTATCTCTCTCTCTCTCTTTCCCT